AGTCGAAAATAGCCTTTGAAGGAAGTCGAAGTAATCCGCGATGCTCAGGTTAAGTGGGGTGCTTAGGTGAACGAGAAAGTTTGAGAGCAGTCGCCATTGATTGATAACGATGATCGATGTTACATGAATCCGTGGAGTAGTGATGAATATGGTTTTTAATCGTTTGTGGTTCTGTATCAGCAAAACAGCACCATTCACAGCTGAAAGGGGCTATCAGGGCTTTTGATATAAGAGTGCAGCTCGTTTATAAAGGAGGAGATGGTAAATCACGTTTCAGCATCAGAGAACATTAATTTCATTTAAATAAAAAAAGGGGGCTCTCGTGGTTTAGAGGCTACGATTTTAGCCTCTCATTCAAAGGTACTGGGTTCGAATCCGGGTAGCAACCGAAACATTTTCTTCTCTAAAACTGTCTCCTTTCATCTCCTTTCCGGCTCTCTAGCAATGTTCTGTCGTTTGTTTTCGTCTCCTTTTTCTGCCCCCACCCCCTCACCTCCTTTACCCCCTCCTCTAGGCTCCTAACTCTTTCTGCAGCCTTTCTACTACTACTCCGTGGCTCCTTCTTTCTGCTGTCTTTCAGCCGCACCCCTGATCTTCTGGTAAGAAAGATCTACCCCTAGCCTTCTCAGACAAGGGCTAAAAATCTCGGTGGGCCCGTGTGCAAGTTGCGCCCATTAAAGATCCCTTGGTGGTCTAAAACCGATAAAAGTAGGCTTCGGCAGCCGCCCGGGCAATATTCTCAATTTCCAACAAACTGAAAAATCATCATCATCATTAGAGTGCCTGATTGTAAATGTGATATTACATTCCCATCGACCGAAATTCGAACACTTAGGAGACGGGTTCATCGATCCTGTCTGCCAGGGCTAATTTACACTGGGTAGGCCATAAAGCTTTCCCGCAAAAAGACATAAATACTCGATAAAGATACCGCCCTGGAATCGAACTAACGTTTTCTGATCAAAACAACGAAGACACCCTAAAGATTACATCACAGATCCAGGTATATTTTTTGTGTGGTTTTTTTGTTTTCGTTGTCTTTCTCGATAAATTAAACCATCTGCGGTGTCATTCGTGACAGGCAGGGTTGAAAACCGCCTTTTGAAATTATCTAAATTGGGTCGATTGTGGCGGTGAGAATAACACGTACTTTAAGAATTTCAAAAACTTTTGCCCTTTACGAAAACAAAAACAAAACCCCAAAACGATGTAGAAATCTGTCGGACGGACGATATTATAAAAAGAAAAATGGATTGGGACTGGGGCTGTCTGGTTTACGTAATGAGGAACACGTTGAAATAATAACATTCCCTTGGTGCTAAGAAAGAGGAATTCCAGTATACAAATGATTAAAGAAAAGTGAAGAAGTAGGAGCTAACAACATACCGCACTCTTTTCCAATCTTAATGTAAGAAGGGAAAGACAAATAGATGATGGACTATACGGTGCGTGAGAAGAAACGGTTAGCAAAAAGTTGGTGTGCAATGGGTTTATTGCATTTGTTGCTGTAAAGTTAGATAAAAAAGATTTGGAATTAAACTTAAACGCATAAGCAGGCAGTAAAAAAAGGGTATTATACACTATATTAATACAATTATGGGTAACATTTAAAGTGTCAGAATATTATTTATCATTCATCCAGCCACTGCCACTGAATCAATTTTGAGTAATATATCAAGAAAAAGAAAGAAAAACGATTCTCTTCATCATCAAAAGCACATTTTATTGAAGCACCAAAGTCAGCATCTTCCCATTAAGCTGTACTTAACAGAGGCGAAAAAGAAAACGCCCGTCCTTTAAGTCACGCGCCGTCGAAGTACAAAACAACGGGGTGCCCTTAAGAACCCAGCAACGTAGCTCACATAAAGTGTACATGGGGAACACTCCAGTGTCAATTGTTAAAGCAATGGTCTGAACACGTATATATAAGCAAGGAGAAAAACAAAGCTCAGGTAGAAAAGAAAACACTGCAGGAGGGCGTGGCAGTGGGAGGATAGTTGCTTTACAAAGCAAGGTGTGTGGTATTTTGCGGCGTAATAATTATTGAAGCCGTTCACGATACGCTAATGTCGTGAGTTGCTCCAACTGGTTGCGCTGTTGCCATGGTGTAAGTCGAAAGACTACTTCCTGAAGCTCAAGGTCTTTTTTGTTTTTGTATAGAATGTCTTGTGTAAATTGAACAACTAAAATAACCTACATTCATCAGGTCATAATAATCGCAGAGGTAGCCAAAGAACACAAAAATCTGCAAAGACTTTAATGTACCTTTCAAAATTTTCAGAACTTGTGTTCTTGATACAACTGGCGTCTGGCATGTTGCTCTTCTTCTGAATAGACGTCAGTTCGAATTTTAAAACACTGTTAATTGTTTTTTTCTTTTTTGACGTGAAAGGTTATACATTGCGCAAAATAATATGACTTTGAGTTTGAGAAAGGAGTTTGTGATCTCATGACAGGACGACACCGCAAAAGATTAAACAAATCCTTTTTGATATGTTGACCTCTTACTTTTGTGACGTTGATCTGGATTTAAAAAAAACTCCACCACCTTCAGGACATGACAATAAATTGCCTGACCCCCCCCCCCAAAAAAAAAAAAAAATAAATAAAAAAATAAAAAATAGTCACTTCCAGAATCACCGTTAACAGACTACTTGCATTTGAACCTTCAATATTATAGTGTGTTATAATACTTATTGTGTTGCTTTGGTTCTTACAACTAAAAGCCATGCTTATGAGGTTTTCTCCATTTCAAAGCTAAAATTTTAGCGCCATAAATTGCATGCCGCACATGGAAATCAAGTACAGAGTACAGAGTTCTCTGTGTGTGTGTTTGTGTTTGTGTGTGTGTGTGTGTGTGTATGTGTGTGTATGTGTGTGAAATTTGTAAAAGAATACGTGCGTGTATGAAATTACGAAAGAGAGAAATATTAAAAGTGAAAGAAGGCGAAATAGAGAAATAATTAGGACGAGGGGGGGGGGTATGAATAGCAATTTATTTTTTATAAAAGTCAGAGGGGAATGTGATTTTAGACTGAAAACATCAAAAATAGACATTCGAAAGGATTAATATCGACTTGTGATGGCATTTAGTCACAACTAACCAAGGCATCAGAAAGAAGTTTTCAATCTCCACAATACAAAAATATTATACTCTGTGAGGAATATGATAGAGTCTGCTCCGTTATGCAGAGCCTTTTATGCAGAACCTGGAACGTGGTTTCATTACTATGCTTAATCGATTTTGTTGCTTTACCCTTTTTAAAGTCTTTTTTCTTGCTTCTCTCATCGATAAGCCCTGCGCCGCCTCCTTCGTAAAATGCCTCAGAGTACTGCTCACATTCAAGTAGAAGATGGTATGATGTGGATACGAGTCTGAGTTTGAGTAATGAGTACCATATTATTGCCACGAAAAAGACTATTTATTGCTTATGGAAAGAGCAATACAGTGTTACAGAAATGTCAGACAGAAAGTTAGGAAGCCGAACCTATCAGCAGCTCTCTTCAATTAATTGCAGGAATGGGTTTAATGTCCTTATAAACTGTGTAGTGTCGTTAGGAGGCTGGATCTTCAATTTTAACATTCATCTTTTTACAGATGGTGCAACGAGAGTAGAGAGCCTTGAAAGTTCTCAATACAGCACAAGTTCAATGTATTTAGCGATTGTCATTCTCTACAATTTGGCAACGATTAATGGATTCTTGTTACCCTGCCGTATGTCTTCTTGCTGTGTAGTACAGTGAAGTTGTAAACCTGTTCAACATAGATCTAATCTATTTTGCTGTTACTCCATGGCACGTATTCCCCGAACTTTAATTTGAATGCATGTACACGTAGTAATCAAATAATCATATGATTAAGGTCTGCATTTAGCTTTAGTAACTTCATCATCAAATAAGAAAAGAAAATAGTTATTTCCAGTTAAAAACCATTTAGTCATTTGGAAGCATGAATAAACTGAGAAAAATACTGGTGTGTTCAATCAGGAAATGCCTGGCGCCCTCCTGAATTCAAAGCTTTAACTTTTAAGTTAAAAAAAGCAATAGCGAGAGCCGGGTACACACCCACTTAAATCACTCGTTCTTGACTCTGATCAAAAGCAATGATATGTAAAACAAGGAACTCGTGGAGACATTTGAGTAGGCATGGAATTTGGATACTTCCACAGGGAAACACTCTTTGGTATTCAATCAAACTTAAGCGCAATGATTATTTACACCCATATTTCATATTGTTAAATATACGGACTACAAACAATCTCAATGTAATTGGTTTTGATTGTGATTGAATATAGAAACACGCAAAAAAAATCATGACTAAGTGTTCTCTGAGTGCGTTTGAAAATGTGTCGTTCCTTTCTATTTCACTGTTCAAGCCCAACGCTGAAATTAAGGAAAGCATTAAGAAGGAAAAATTTTGTAAACGCAGTAAGCTACAAATTATAAACATTTTTGAATGATCGGAACAAAGCATTTGCAGTTAATTATACACGAGATTGTCTCAGTAAAAAAGCCATTATATTTGATTAATATTTAGTACGAACGAGCGGATTTTAATTTTCCTGAACAATCACTGACTATTTGCTAATGTTCAGCTTTTAAACTAAAAAGATTTTAATCACAACATTAACAGTTCAGTGTTACAGTAAATGACAGATGGTTGTAAGCAATGTTTCCACATACTATGACTGAAAATTTGGAAACGAGATGGCAAAAGCAGCTATACCGAAACGAAGCTAAGACGAAACCCAACACACTTCATCCACTCAAACTACATGGAAGCTGAAGACCACCGGAATAAAACAAGATTTTTGTCTATTGAGTCATTTACGTCAATGGATGTTGTGTGTGAATGTGAGTGTGTTTGTGAGTGTGTGTGTGTGTGTGCATGTATGTGTGAGTGTGTGTGTGTGTGTGCGTGTGTGTGTGTGTGTGTGTGTGTGTGTGTGTGTGTGTGTGTGTGTGTGTGTGTGCTTGTGTGTGTATGTGAGTGTGTATTGTTTTGTTTTGCATTTTTTGTTGTTGCTGTTGCTGTTTTGTGGATTGTTGGCAGATGTCACCAATTTTGTCAACACAATCCACCTTCCTGTTTCGTTTAGATGGGGTAATATGGGGATATGTGAATATACATTTCATGACCGACATCCGCAGTCCAGTTTCGATAACGTTGCATACTCATTGGTTTTTAGTATGAATGGACTGTTTGGAATGACTAGAGATATCACACACGGAAATGCCATCTTACAGTGCAAGGACAGTCAACTATATTATCCCTCGTTGTGACCTGAAACCGTCTCCAAGGGGGAGACGAACTCAGTGTGTACGAATCGCCTTCTACTATTAATAATTCATCCCGTTTTCACAGTCGAAGCAAGATCATTCAGGGATCCACATCGCTTCACCTCTATGTGGTTTTTCTCCCTCGTCCCGAGACAGACGTCAGCGCATTAATCGATGACGTAAGGCACATTTTTAAAAGGAGAGATGAAACGTTGTCTTATCACGTGACTTCATGTTCACCTTTGATCCGGCGGCGAATCCATTTGGGGAGTCTGAGAATAACACTTTTCAGCGCTACCATACTCTCTTTCCGAAAACGCACATTAAGGATGCTGTATATAAGCGGGTTGGCAGCGCTAGATAAAAAGTAGGATCGCAGACACAGCTGGTAGAGGAGTTGTTGAGAGTAGTCCATGGGCCGCTGGAAGCCCATTCCCAACAAGTAGATGACGTGGACTGTCAGGAAGGGGACGTAACCAAGTAGGAAGACGAAAGTAACCAGCCCCAGCATCCGAGTAGTTCTGCCAACGCGAGCTAGAACAGAGGTGCGATGGTGGTGACCAGCTTGGGATCTTGACGCCACGGAGACATTCTGGGAACTGCCAAATGACCTGTGCGTAGAAAGATAACGTTAGGGTTTAGATTCGTTTTTAGTGGGAGTATTTTCTGTCGTCATGGTCCCGTGATGACTAGAGATCCCCTCCTGGGAAAAGAATTAGTCGGTGCTGTCAGTTTAGTTAGAGCAGGAAGTCGAGACCATTTCTTAATCATATCGTTTTGTACCCCCAAGGTTGTATTCTTCACATTTTAGAATACTTCTAGTACGAATAAGATCTCTTTGAAACGTTCTGTATTTCTCCAAAAAAAATCATGATGACAGACTGCTATGCAAAGCGTACGGATGGGTTAACGATTAAATTTCCTCTTTGGAAAGTAGCGGCACAAAGCCCC